ACAGATTAATTAGATAGGCCAAGCAATAGATAATGCCTCTGTTGTCTTCATGTGTCATGTGTTCATCCATCTTACATTCCCAATTATGAGTTACGCTTTTTGAAGGCAGATTGCCTTATTTTTTGTTCTGAATTTCTTTCATGTTTATAATGTACACAGAGATGCTTTCAGACTGGTTCGGAATGATTCAGTGATGGCTGATGGAAAGAAGGGCATCATACTCCTTTGCGTGGTGACCATCTCTTGTTGTGTGGTGGGTTTGCTCTGGGTCAGAAACAGGTAGCAGTGCTTGCTTAAGGATGGCAACTGATATGTATTAAAAGCAGCCCCATTCCTGCTGGGGTCAAAAGTAGACAAGAGCCTTGGTTGCTGTGCAGCCCAAGGACTCTTAGCCTTGATTGGCCATTACTCAACACATTAAAAGCCCTGATATGCGTTATGTACCAGCACTGAATTTCCAGCTTCATTTGTTTTCTCTCTATTCTAGCATGGAGACCTGATATGTTGTAGTCTTTGAAGCACCTTTTAAAAGACTATATTTACCAGGCAGATGCCAGGAGAGAAAATACCAAGGAGTTAGGGCTGAAGGGATAGGCTGGCTCTTCTAAATAGGAGACTGTCTGGTCTGGACTCTCCCAAGGCAGCTAGAATCTGTGGTTTTGTGGTTTCTCTGGGGCTTGAAGAATGCCAGTGCTGTGCTATGGCCAATAGACTGATAGTAGGGAGAGGATATCCGGAACCTTTGGACCAGATTGGGGCAGTGAGCTGCTTGAATTTCACAACTTTTTAAATGAGGAAGAAGTGAGAATTTGCATTGCGTCTCTTATGGGCAGTGATATAATGAGAATTACACATTACACTTGAGAGACGTGAGCTCTCTGGGTGTTAACTTTTGTGTTTTGGATTGGTTTGTGTTTAAAAGAGTTGTTGGTTGGATGCTCAGAAAGCACCTGTGATTTGTCTTAGTTTCTTTTTCTCTTAAAGTTTTATTTTGTTGTTGAACATAAACAGCAAAGCATACACTGATGTAAGAGTTTCTGCAGATTCATTTCAGTGGCATTGATTACATTCTTGGAATTGTGCAACCATTCTCAGCCTCCTTTTTCTGAGTTGCTCCTCCCTCATTAACATGAACTCATTGTCCCCTAATGATCTCTCTAATCTTGGCTATTTCTCTTGTCAATTTTATTCCATACAGATAGTCCTTAAAAGACCAGTCTCCTTCCTCTTTGGGAGATGCACACTTGAGAAGACTTAACTCTTCTTAGGAGAAATAATTTTGCTTTATGACCTCTAGCCTCAATTGTTAAGTGGACAGTGACACTAATATCCTACTTATCTTGGGAAATTAAAGGGAACTGTGTGTATGAAATACAAAAAGTAAGTGATAAAACAAGGTAATAGGAACACAGCTGTGTTCCATAGAGTCAGAACCGACCTATAGCTGATCCTTCGGCGGTTTTTCAGAAGTAGTTAATTGCACAGGAGTAAACTGTCCATCCTTCTCCCACAGAGCAACTGGTGGCCTCGAAACCTGTGCCATTGGAATTACATTTCAGCTTCTTGCCACTAGGCCACCAGAGCTCCCTGAGAGGGAGAAGCATTCAGAATGGTCCAACGTCTGACCGGCTGTCCTCCAACTAGCGGTTGTCCTACATCACAGCCTCTAAAAAAACTAGGCTGTCCCGAACCACTCATAATAAAATTGTTTACCTTTATATCAAGCAGGTTGGGAAAGCACCAAAATCTGTATATGGTACATGCCCAGGCCAGCTAAGGGGTTCGTGCTGTGAGCCCTAAAGTTCTCAGGAGGTTGTCAAAAACAAAACAGCATGTCAGCAGAGCTTCTAGTGTTTCCATGTGTATTTAGTATGTCCGTGACCAGATCAAGCATGCTTTCCTTATTGAAAAGCAGAAAATTGTTGTAACAGTACTGAAGGTACAAGCACAAAGTCAGAAAGCAAAATAAAAAATGGTGCTGCTTTAATAAAATGTTTTAAAGCTTGTCTTCGTGATGTAGTACTGCTGTACCAGAAACACCATAATTGAATGCCTTTAGTGAAACAGAAATTTTTCTCTTTCACAGTTCGGGAGCCCTGAAAGCAGAAATCATAGTGCTGGCTCTAGAGGGAAACTTTACCTCTTAGTGTCTTGATTCTATGAAGTGCCAGCACAGAGACCTGGGTCCAAAGAACATGCTCCTCTTCCAGCTTGTCTTTCTTGGGAGTTATAGGTCTGTTTATTTTGCCTCTCTCTCCTTTTAGTTCTTTTAATCTCACCACCAAGAAAACAGAGATTCTCACCACTAGGCCAATTAGCATTATGATAGATGGTGAAGAGATTGAGATTGTTAACAGTTTTAGTTTGCTTGGCTTCACAGTCAGCAGTGTTGTTACCAGCAGCCAGGATATCAAAAGACATATTGCACTGGAAAAATTGCTGTTAGGGAACTTGCGAGAGTACGGAAGAGCAATGATGTCAGTCTGGAGGCTACGGTGTGCCTGATCCAGGCAATGCTCTTTGCAGTTATGTGCTGTACATCAGAAAGGTGGACAGTGACTAGGGATGATAGAAAGAGAATTGATGCCTTTCAGCTGTGGTGTTGGAGAAGAGTACTGAATATACCATGGACTACTAAGAGAATAAACAGGTTAGTCCTGGAAAGGGTGAAACCAGGCTGTTTTTTGGAGGCAAGGATTCTGAAGCTTCATCTGATGTATTTTGGGCATGTTGCAAGGAGGGATCAGTCCTTGGAGAAGGACATTATACTTGGAAGGATGGAGAGACAGCACAGGAGAGGAGGACCCTGGATGAGATGTATTGACCCAGTGAGTGAAGTTATGGGGGGTAGATGTGTCAGAGACAATGAAGTTGGCTCAGGGTAGAGCAGGGTTCTGAGCTGCTGTTACATAGGGTCACAATGAGTCACAGGGAATTTGACAGCATATAACAACAAGATAAAGTGTTGTAGGCACTTAAAAATATAAAATGTTTTCTTCTTGGAGAAAATTTCTCTTGCATTAATTTGGGCTGTGGAGGGATTAAAGATGGAATATTGCACCTTACTCCTTATACCAGTGATGACTAATTGGCTTATTACATTTTATCACATCATAGGGGATCATTACATAACTGCTGAGCCACTGAGAATTATGACCTAGCCAAGCTAACACATATTTTAGGGAACACAGTTTAATCCATGACATTCTACATCTTAGCCTCTCAAAAGTCATGGCACTGTTACACAAAAGTTTTACTCCATCATATCATTCTTAAAATCAGCACCAAGTTGAATCAGGTTCATCCTGAGGCAAAAATTCCTGTTCGTCTGTGAATCTAGAATACAGGTTATGAACTTTTTAAAGTATGGTGGTAGAACAGGCACAGGTAGACTTTTCCACTACAGGTAGGAGAAATTGAAGAGAGATAAAGGATAACACCTACAAGCAAGTCAAGAGATCCAGCAGGACAATTTATATTCGTTCTCACAGCTTGAAAAGAATCTTGTGTTTTCCATTAGGTGAGGCTCTGTCCTGCAGCCTCAGAGTGTTGGATTCTGGGTGGAGGCCCCTCAGCCCTGCACGCCCAGGACCACTGGGATGACAACTCTGATCTCTCGGCTTTGGGCAGCCCCATTCTCCCAGTTCATATGAGTGGTCATGCTAGCCTTTGGGACCCCATTCTTCTGCCTTCTGATGGTAACTCCATCCATTCAGCTTTTGACGGTGGCACCATTGTAAAGGAAATCCCATTCTCCACAATAGAAAATGATCAAGTCTGACTGAAAAATAGGAGACTGTGATGCCACCCTCGGAAACAAAGTAGGAGAATGTACTTAATCGTGTTTTCAGTGGCTGTGACCTTTCAGAAGCAAATTGCCAACCTTGTCTTCTGTCGTGTACCTCTGAATGGGTTCAAACCATCAGCCTTCAATTGTGGTTGAGTGACTTGCTGTTCATGCCACTCAAGGACTTCTAAACGTGCCATGCTCATTTCTGTATCTGGGCCCTTCCCCAGGCTGAGCATTCTGCTTACAGTTCTTTGCCCAAGTCTTTCCTCCGTGTTCTCTCTTCAGTGACCTCCATTCATCACTTCTCCATGTAATGCTCCTATGGAATTAGCAGGCATAAGGCACGAGGGGTTACAAGGACATGTTGTAAGGAAGGACCAGTCCTTGGAGAGGGACATCATGCTTGGTAGGTTGGAGGGACAGTGCAGGAGGGGAAGGCCCTCTTTGAGGTGGATTGATTCAGTAACTGGGGTAATCAGGATGGGTGTATCAGAGACGGTGCGATTGGTACAGGACAGAGCAGAGTTTAGGGCTGTTGTACATAGGATCGCTATGAGTTGCAAGCGACTCGACAGAACATAACAACAACAACATATTGCATGTGTTATTTAAGATACAATAGTCTGTTGTCTCCTGATCCTTGCTCAGTAGTTAGTATTATCTGAATTAGTTCTGTAGTGCTTTTTATTTTTGTGTAATTGTAACATGTATTTACGTCTTATCACTCCGTATTATTTTAAAGACAGACACTGTACTCCTTAAAATTCTTCAGCCCGGTTCTCACATCCAGTAAGCAGTTACTGAGCTTATTTCAGTACACACCACCTGCTGATGGATAGGCCGCTCGATTTCAGAGTATTATTAGTCTTCTGTGTTGTATTTCCTAATCCAGTCAGCCCATATGCTTTCTTTTCTCCCTTTCTATTCTCCTAGTGTTAGCTGCAGTATCTCGTATCCTGTCCACTCAGAGATGTTTGCCAGTGGCAAGGACTTGTTGCTTTCCGGTACCCCACACAGATAGAGGCTTTGTCTGGAATGCTTGTGATTTTAGCTGGAGCCAGGAATTTTCTGCAGCTGAGTAGGGGGAGGAGTTGTGTCTATTTCCCTCTATTGAGAGTGTAGGGGTTAGGGAGAAGGGGGGGGGGTGGGTGGGTGATTTCCCGGAATTTGAAGTATTCCGCACAATGAATCCTTTCATTTCTTTTTTCAGGAACAGGGCGTATACCTGACCAACTCGTGATCCTAGACATGAAACATGGAGTGGAAGCAAAAAATTACGAGGAGGTATGTCCTACTGTCACAGCCAAAGGAGACAGCAGTGTGCTCTACGGAGATGCCTGTGACCTGGTCAGGCCAGCAGGCTGTGCTTTGCCCAGAAGGCTGTGGTTTTCTCAGCAGTCACATGATAACCAGCTACAATCTTAGTGATACAAAAAGTTGTTTTCACAGCCTGAACAATAATTCTGGCCGTGCTGTCAGCCAAAGGACTGAACCAGCTGTCCCCAGTGAAATGTTGATGTGATAAAACATTGAGGTTTAGGTCATTAGCTTCATTGAAATAGAAACTGGATTTATGTAGTCAACATTTCTAAAACCCTGGGCTTCATTTATTTAATCCCAATGTTAGGAAAAGTGACTTGTTCTTCATTCCTAAGCCTTTTTTCAGGCTGGCAGCTATATATATATATATTCCCCCACCCGCCCAACAGGGAATGGATCAGTGGTGTTTAGATTTGAACAACTGCTATCTTGGAGAAACATGGTAGTCAAAAATAGCTTTTCACTAAGATAATTTTAAGCTCTTAAAAAAAGATGGTAGATTAGAGGAAAAGACTGTAAAAAGCTATTACAAGAAGGAATAAAAATTTTATTCTTACAGGAAGTAGTATAGAGTATTAAAAGCTAACTGATTTATTTGGATGGAGAGGGAGTGGAGGTGTGCTCAGAATAAAGACAGAGCCACAGCCTTTTTCATCTTGGTTTTGAGAGGCTGTGGGACCAACACAAATGGTTCATTAAATGAAGAGCAACTTTGAAAACCACAGTATATGTCAAGTTGGGAGATCAGTCTTAGCTTTCAAGACAGAAAGCAAAGAGGAATTTCACCCAGCAAAGAATCTCAGGGCACAAGGAAGAGTTGGAGCTAAGATATGTACGTAGCTTTTGAAGTATCAATAAATAAGGCAGGAAAGATAAATTTAGATGATGTAAGTGTATTTGCTGTAGCGATGGGTCAGGAATAGATGTTGTTATATCTTTCTCGGGACTTTGGAAGGGAAATATCTTGCAATGGCAGAAGATTGGAGTGACAAATCTGCAGCAGGAATAGTAGTGCAGGTATGGTTCCTGAGATCTTTCCCCTCCTTGTCCTTGTATTTGTCAAGTGAATGAAACCAGATTGAATCATTTGTAGGCAGTAAATAGGAGTGATACAGTAATGAATGGAAGCATATTCCTCATAGAAACTTGGAATTGCTTGTTTCTGCCTCCGGGCTAGTTTAATTAAAAGAAAGAGCCTTTTTACTTGAGAAAATTAAAAAATATTTTTAAGCTTTTATGATTGAAAAGAATCTTAATTCTATTTTAGAGAAAATAACTAGAGAGAACACTTTATTATTATCAAATAGGAGAAAAGGCATGTTGATTTTTGGATTGCATTACTTTGAATTCCTCCATGTAGAACTTTACTTAGAGCTTGGAACAGTTTTCCTCCAACATGATGGCTTTTATTATGTGGTATTTATTAAATAATAAACCACCTGATGCCTTGTTAGACTTCAGAAAAAACTTGTTTCCATCTAAAATAGACTGCATTATGGTGAGTTTACCCATAGAATGATGTGAACATCACTGCCATCCAGTGTATTAGAACCCCATACCTCCTGGAAGGAGCCCTGGTGGTGCGGTGGTTAAAGCATTTGGCTGCAAACAGAAGTGTCAGCAGCTCACACCCACTGCTGCTCTGCTGGGATACAATGTGGCTGTGTGCGTCCTAAAGACTTACGACCTTGGAAACGCTTTGGGGCAGTTCTGCAGTATCCTCCAGGGTCACTGTGAGTCACAGTGGGCTCCACAGAAATGGGTTTGATTTGGGCACCCCCTGGGATCACCGCCATCCTTGAGCTTTGTTGACATTGGATGAGGGACTTTATCTTTCCTGACCTACTTAACCTAAGAAGGGAATCCCTAGCAGAAAGGAAACCACATCACTTCCTTTCCCGGTTCCTCAGCCCCTTGTCTGACACATCTTTACGCATATGGTTACAAAACAGCTTTAAGATTCAGCTTCTTAACTAAGAAACTCCTGCCCACTACTTTCTTTACCACCCCGAGACACACACGTGCACGCACACACACGCATACACGTGCATGCACACAGACTTGAAGAGACACACACACCATTCCTCCCCAAACGGCAGACCTCGGTAGAGGAACAAGAGGAGTGATTACAACACAGGTCAAAGACTGAACCTTTCAGTCAGTCGTCAGTCAGAAAGAGCAAGTTTTCCTTGGGCTAATGCTTGTGACTGGTCATGGCTAATAGGAGCACTTACTCCCTAGTTAATGATCAGAGAGCACTGAGCACATGTAACGTTCCTGGCCCTTAGGTTTAGACTCTTGCCTGCCCTTAGGTTGTACTGTCACATCCATGGACTGCTCTGAGGGAGAAAGGTGGACATCTCTTCCAGTGTGATTTACAGACTCTGAAAATCTGCCTGAGAAGCAGCCGTGAGGCAGTTCTGACTCGACAGCACTTAACAACAGTCCCATTATGGACCTTTGGCATCAGTAGTATGCTGTAGGAAGATGGCGTGTTCCTTTCATTTTCTTCATATCCAATATATTTCTCCACATTTATGGCCTTCATAAATCTGAAATCCCGTGTGGTTCTATAAAATTGAGTAGTACTCAGTATCTTACTAGTCAGGCATACAGAGGATCTTACCATTTCATGTACGTGAAATTGCTATGTAAACACAGATGTAAGATGATGTTATTTAAAAAACAGAACACTTGACATGTAAAAGAGCATAAGCTCTTATAGCTTGAATTCTCTATAGAGAAAGAATGCCTTTGTCTCCAGAAGTAAAGCTCCTTTGATTTCCCTGTGTTGTTTTTTAAAGATGGACAGTTGTCTCTTGTAAAGATTTACAGCCTCAAAAATCTGATCGGGGGAGAGGGGTCACTCCAAGTTAGAACTGACTGGATAGTGGTGGGTGTTGTTTTAAGGACCTGACCATTGTCTTGCTTTCATTCTTCAAAAGTGGGAGCTTCATTGTAGATTGAGAGCATAAATTGTGCTATTTCGTTTATGGTCTGTGACCTAGAGTGCTAGTTTTCAGAGATTTTTTAATGTCCAATTGTGCATTTGTGGAAATAACAGCAATTCCTTTCTTACAAAGAAATTGTTATCTTGGCCTATCCTCACTCAACCTCTTCATCTATGTATGTACCTTCTGGCTGTGAATGCAAGCATTTTCAACACTGGTGCAATACCCAGGGGTTCTCTGAGTCTGTCATTTGCTCTACTAAACCCATTGCCGTGGAGTCGTCCCCTATAGTACAGGACCAGCCTTCTCCATATGGTTTCTAAGGATGGAAATCTTTTTGGAAGCAAATTGCCATAGGTTTCTGCCCAAGAGTGGCTGTCAGCTCAAACTGCTAATAACCTTTTTAATGTTAAGCAGAGCACTTAATCACTGTACCACTTCAGTTCTCTACAGATGCACTAGAAACCATTTTCCTGAATGGAACAAAAGCTTCAGCCTTTCCAAAAGTTCTGTTTATCTAAATATTACCTGGAAGGAGCAACTCTAGTTCCATATACTAGATCCATAGTCTCCTTCTGATATAATTGGTAAGTTTAGTAGATTTTTACTTACCTTCTACCTTTTCTAGAAATTATCAAATGGACATAACAGAGTACAATAAATCTTGCTAAACATAACCTAAGCACTAGAATTTGAGGCATTGTCTGGAATTACTTTGACACAGTGTTGACCGTTTGAGTTTCTGTGATTCACTTAGTCCAACCCCCAGACACAACAATGCTTGTCCGCAGTTACAGGCTTTAACCTACTTGTCTTACTCTACAAGGTATTGCTTAGTTTCTGGGATTCACAGGAAGTGAAGATAACCTTTCCAAATTTCTTGGCATATACTAGCGAGCGTGTCCGAGGCTACATCTGTTTGTTGAAATACCTCATTTGGTATTTCTTCAATTCTTGGGGCCTTATTTTTGCCAATGCCTTCAATACAATTTGGGGTTTTTTTTTTCCCTTCACAACTGCAGGTTCTTGATCATACGTTACTTCCTGATACGGTTCAGTGTTGACCACTTCTTTTTGAGACAGTGATTCTCTGTATTCCTTCCATTTTTATATTCCCTGCATCATTCAAGATTTTTTTTTTTTATCATTCAAGATTTTATCCACAGAATCCTGTAGAATTGCGACTGAAGGCTCTCAGTTTGAAAAATGCTGAGCATTCTCTTCTCTTCTGGTTTCCTGACTCCAGGTCTTTGCACATTACATTGTACTTTGCTGTATCTTCTCAAGCTACTTTTTGAAATTTTATGTTTAGCTTGCTCAGTCTGTCATTTCTTCCCTTCACTTTATGTTTTTTTGGTCTCTTTTCACATCCATTTTGGTCTTTTTTCTCCTGTCTTTTTAATAACCTTTTCACTTGTTTCATGAATGGTGATGTCCTTTGTCATCCCACAACTCATCTGGCCTTTGGTCATTAGTGTTCAGTGTGTCATATATTTTCTTGAGTTTGTTTTAAAACTGATGTTGTTGTTGTTGTTAGGTGCTATCAAGTACAACTCATAGTGACCCTATGCACAGGGTATCTGAACTTAGTCCTGTACTGTGCCATCGCTGACACACTTGAGCCCATTGCGTGCAATCACCATGTCAGTTCATCTCACTGAGAGTCTTCCTCTCTTTAAACTGTTATTATGTGCCATCAAGTCAAGTATGAGCCATATCAACTCAGTGAACAACAGATCTGAACTCTTTCCTATCCTGCCATCCTCACACTTCCAGACACACTAGAGCCCATTGTGACAGGCACTGGGTTAATCCACCTGCTTGAGAGTCTTCCTCTCCTTTGCCGACACTCTGCTTTTCCAAGCATGATACCCCTCTCCAAGGATCTCTTATCAACATGCTCAAACTATATGAGGCGAAGTGTTATCTTTTCCTCTAACAAACACTCTGGCTGCCCATCTCCAGGACAAAGCTGTT